GTGTTGTTTAAGTTTCACATTAAGAGTACTCCCGAAGTAGGTGAACCAAGATGGCGGACACCGGAATGTAGTATGTGTACCAGATAAGGGTTAGATACTAGTCCCCGAACTCGTAACAGAACTAAAAAAAAAATTGGAATAACTTTAACATGGCACACATACTACGTTCCGGCGTCCGCCATCTTGGTTCACCTACTTCGGGAGTACTCTTCGAATACAGTATTAGAACACTTCGAATACTCTAACTTCGAATACAGTATTAGAAAAAAAACATATATACTAAATTTTATTTTCGAAAAGGCAACTTCACAACAATATCTTCATTTTATTTTATTTCGAATTTCAAATATATATTCTAGTAAAAATCTTCAGGCATATTTACTTATTACCGAGGTAAATTAATTAACGAATAAAAACACTATCAATCACCGTTGAAGCGAGAATAATGGACCGTTTCCATGGTTACAAAATTGGCGGGATCTAGTGAAGCCATTCAAATTAACATCTAATTATTTTGTCACAATGATGTTTGAGAATTTTTTCAACAATTGGCGGGAAACATCAAAAAGGTAATAATGGTTGCGCGGACGCTTGACACAATTCCTAAAGTCGCTAAAAGTGCTTTTGGCGCAAATCCTGTCGTATAGAAAGCAGGATTAAACGTACTGGGCGGTCGTTAACGAAATAACTGCGCGGTCGTTACCGAAATAACTGCGCGACCGTCAACGAAATTATTGAGCGGTCGTCATCGAAATTGTTGCCTAAACCACAATCGTATTGTTCAAAAATACGTGACATTTTGGGGATTCCTTTGCAGTCGTGCAGATTGAGATACTTATTATTATTTTCTTAAATGTTCGCTTAGGATAAGGCTTCAGGCAAGCAGACCTTGGTTTTAAAAGTTTAATATGCGGCGCGTTATCACACCTTTATTTTTGATGTTGACTTGCCAATAAACCACGGCCGGTCTATGACGGATATGAGAAAAATCCATGGCCAAAAATTCTGCCAATCTAAACTGGCGGGCCATGTAAGTGTGACGTAAAAGTTGTATTTCATGAATATTATTTACAGTGTTACACAAGCAAAAGTGGAAAACAATAAGCCTCGTGCCAAAACTAATTATCTCAACAAATTCCTTGAGCTATTTTTATAAACATCAAAATTTAGTTTAGTTGGGTTTGGGGTTGTAGCAGTATCAGGCGGGCCGGATTGAATTACCCAACGAGCCGGATTTGGCTTGCGTGACGTAGTTTGCTCATGTCAGGTCCACATGAACTTAACGCTCTGAAGAGCGCTTCATCGTATTAGTGTTGTTGACCGATGGCTGTACTCAATGACCCGTGACATCTGACCTTTATCGTTTGTCAAGTATCTTTGGTAAATGTTGTAGAAACGTCGGAAACGTTACTTGGATATACGAGTAATTTAAATAAACGCTCTGACATGAATGTCAATAACACATGAATTACAGAAAACATAGATTTCATCACCATACGATTTGCTGAGTGTCCACACACAATCAATTACTCACTAGTAAGAAAAGCAGGATTTCATATTCAAAATGAATATTCCAATGAAAAAAATTGATGAATCTCGACCTTTGGCGGATAGAAAAAAAACAAGATGGCGGCGATTCAAAATTTTCTCTGAACCGATTCGAATAATTTACTATTCTATTCGGAATGCCCAGGCCTACCGATGGGACAGTAACTATCGCACAGCAAAACGCTATTTCAAAACAACACAAAAAATGCATCAAATTTATCCATTTTTACACAGCATTTCAATGATCATCGATAAAATATTCGAGTTAATAACACCCAATGTCTCGTCTGAACTCGCCGAATTGACCAATCACAGTTTCCACGGTTTAAAATAAACAAAAATGACGCACAGCCTTTTTCATTTTGTTGGCGGGCGGTCAATATCATTAGCGGTACGATCTGTTACATTGAAGTACTATCGGGCGCCAAATCTGACGGTCAATGGCACTTAAAGGGCTTTAAACAGGCAACACAGGATTAAAGTTGAATGCCTTTGATCGCGTTTGTTGCTAATTAACAACCTTATGGCAGTTTGGTTTGTCGCTTGAAATAACTTGAACGTATTTTATCGTGTACTTATCCCTCCTGTATGCTTCTGCGTTGGTGGACCCGTATGCACACAATGCAAGGACGCTGTAGCAAAAGTGAAGATGAATATTATAATTGAATCAAGAGACTTGCTTCACCCTGATACAAATATATTTCTGCGAAACAACTACTCGTCCTTCCTCTATGTTTTTTGGCGCAAATTTTGCCGTATAGGAGATAGGTTTAAACATACTGGGCGGTCGTCAACGAAATAAGAGCGCGACTGTCAACGAAATTGTCGGGCGGTCGTAATCGATGATTGGGGTGACCGTACATTTGAACCCATGAACATTTGAACCCATGTGTATATCCGCGGGTTCAATCTATATGCGGGTGCTAAAACCCATGGGTTAGGGTTAGTATGGGTTCAAATATCCGTAAAACAAAAAAATTTCCATAGGTGCAATAGTATGCAGGTGCAATTGTCGTGGGTTCAAATGTACGGGAACCATTGATGGACCTGCATGTATACAATGCAAGAATGCTGTAGCAAGAGTAAAGATACCTATTGCATGTGATTCAAGAGCCTTGTTGCACCCCGAGTCCGTGACACAAATATAACGTGTCCATAAAGTTCATAAAAATTGCAGCAGAAATTTATCGATACCATATATTGTTTTGGCCCTCACAGATGTATTAAATGAAGGTAAAATACTTAAACAAATACTGATTAAACAAAAACCTGGTTGAGATATATTGAGAACTGACTTTATAACACACTTTAAGATGTTAAGGGACTTTAGGAACACACTGTATATCTCTGCGAAACCAAATATCAATTATTCCTTCTCTATACTTGCGCTGGTGACACCCGTATGTATAGAATGCGAGGATGCTGTAGCAAGAGTGCGTTCGCGCATAATGCAAAGATGCCGTGAAAAAGAAAAAAAGGTGATTGGCCATACAAAAAAAAAAGGGGGACTATTCTTAGTTCAATAAAAACAACATAATCTCTCTCCACGAAAACTTTGCTGCATTTTTGCAGTTCAGTACACATTACCCCACAGCCCACCCTATATTAGGTCAGAAGTATAATGATATTATGCCTCATGCCATTTTAAATAATCACTTTGAGGAAATATATAAGCTCAAGTTACCGTTCACCGTTTGTGACATCAGTGAAATTGCATTGTTGTTTAACAATGATCACTTGCAATGCTTTGTTTACATTCCCGCCTTGCAAAAAATTGGCGGGAAATATTTATCATGCATAGTTACGTCATAAACATGATTAATGCAAACAATGCAAAATTTATACGACATCGTTATATCAGTTACATATTAACCGGAGTGAAATCTGTTTTGTCTGCAAGGTCGTGGCAAGGAAGGGCAGCGCTGGTTAAAAGTCCTGAACATTTTAGAACCGAATATTCGGATCGAATCGAATAGTAAATTATTCGAATCGGTTTCGCTCCACGGAAAAGGTTGCAAACCACTGCTCCTACTAGTGATTCCCAACCTTTTCCGTGCCCGGACCCTCCAAGATGTGTAACCTTCAAATGAAACAACTTAATACGGCTGTTTTCAAATGATCTCTACTGCAAACGACGTCTATTATCAAAACTCCATACATAAACCGTCTTGGAATCGCAAAATTTCCTCAACCAAAAACAGGTTTGTGTGCTTGGTTGTGGCGGAATCTTAGCAATGATTCCCGGTTCAAAACAGTATTGTTTCATCTCTCACAGATGTATTAAATGAAGTATAAACACTTGAACAATTACTGATTAAAAAACCTGGTTAATTAAGATATATTAAGAACTGACTTCATAACAAAATTGAAATTGTAAAGGGACTTCATGGACACCCTGTATACAACAGCAATACAGCAATGCCAAAATGTTCTGTCCCCACAACAGGCCCTTGTTGATAGTCCCGAGCGCCCCGGCCAACCCACCGCTCTTAATTCCGTTCTATTATCTATATTATATATGCTCTTCGGTGCTCCCGAAGTATGCCAACCAAGATGGCGGACATCGGAACGTAACATGGTTAACAGGTTAGGGTTAGGCGATAATTTCTTTCCAATTTTCCTTATTTTAGTCCTATTATTAGTTCGAAGACTAGCCAAGAGCCTCCTGTAGTATTCATACCTAAAATTATGGCCTAACCCTAACCTAGTACACATATTACATTCCGATGTCCGCCATCTTGGTTCGCATACTTCGGGAGCCTCTACTCTTCAATGCATTGTGTGAACTCAAGGGTTTACTCAATGTACCCAATGTATTATATGAAACAACGTAAAGGGTGACCCCGTGACCCCCAAAAACAGAACCCAAGTAATTTAAATTATATTCCTGGGTGAAAATAATTTTATGCAAAACAGAGATTTTCGGGTACAATCATAAACAAACAGGAGAATAAATTTTCACACGATCAAGGAAAGATTACGTGTCATGGTTCTTGATATCAATGTTGAAACTAGCGGGGTCTTAACCGCGATTTCGTTAACGGTTAACGGTTCGGTTACCCGGTGATATCGCGCCATCGCTTTCCGTCTTGAGTACACAACGGTTGGGGTTTCGGTTCCTGTGACACTTTCGGTCAATTTTAGCGCGAACGCGTGATTTATTAGGTGTTTACAAGATTTCCCATCGTCCAATCTTCGTTGGAAATTTTTGTCGAAGTCTCAGAAATTACACGCGCGAATTTTATAGGTGCTATGTCATAGGCAAAATATGACGTAATAAACAGCTTCCAATTCCGATATGACGTCACAAACACGTTATGACTGAATAAACTTAGCAGTCAGTTATAAACTCGAGATAGTTCAAGAAAAGGAATTTCTAATTTCAGGTGATATGACGTAATAAATGGCATGATGGCGTCATAATAAAAAGTATGACAAAATAAAGTACTTACAATATCAACGTTTGTGATTTCATAGAGTCTTCCAATCAGCCTTTGCCTTGATGACCAGATAGTATTGTACTCGGTAGGAAGACCGCAAACTGCTGCGCCAACGGTGCCGGCTGCGATCATTGAGGGAGTGTACATGGAGAACTTGTGATCTGTATGGAAAAGTTTTCATCAGAAATTAAGTTGAGGGAGATAAAAAAAATTAAATTTGAAATTATGACGTTATAATACAAAACTTGACATCATAATACAACATTGTGACACTTATCTTTGATGAGTGACTGGATTGGCAATTCGAACATTCATAAAATCATCGACCGGAGGGGGTATACATTGAAATAAAAATTGTGTTCTAAATTGTGATGATATAAAACAAAACCTGACATCAAAATACAACAATTTTAAAGTTGCGAACGCACTTCGTATTCTTCGGTGAGTTGGTGGGCGCACACATGCACACACACACACACATAACACACGCATAAAGATTAATTTTGGAATCTTGGATTCGGATTCATAATGAATTCGCAAATTCAAAAATGTATTGTCCTTGTATGGATTTTACCTATTTACATTTTTATCAATTTAAACTATTCGCAAAATACCTAATTTGGATATTTAGATAATAAATTTTCTGATTTTCTTTCTCGCTTTTTTAGGGGGAAAATATGATTTTTGTAATTTTTCATACAGCAAAATAAATCAACGTGAAATTCCACAAGGCTTCTGAAAAGCAGATTCTAATTCAATGTTTCATAAATCATGTCATGAATTCAAAATCACTTTCGTCTGTGACGTCGAAATAAATATTGTTACGAAACAAACGGCGCGAAAAAAAATTCTCAACAAGTAAGCCCTTGTAAGTTTTTTCGTGAGGATTGCCCTGAATATCAAATTAAACAAAAATCCTGCTAGACTTTTTAATGATCGTAATTTGTGTTCTTACATGAAATTTGACATTTCCGCAGAAAAAAAGTCCAATTTCCACAGAAAAAAGTCCGATTACTGCGAAATCCCAAATCTACGTCGATTATGTCAAAATAACAATATTGTTGCAAAACAAACAGCGCGAAAAAAATACGTGGGAGTAATGTTTTCCTGGGTGCGACACATATGAACAGACGCACGTTGTAACACGTAGCCGCCCACGTTTTCATGGATGCTTGCGTGTAACATTTTTCTTCTTGCGTGGGAAAACTCAAAAACAGATTTTTGGGGTTAAATAATAGCTCCTACTTTTGTTGTTTGTCAGTTATAGTCACACCACAATTTTTTTTCTCGATATTTTCATTTTACTTTGTTCGTCTTTTTTTAGGTTAACGTTTCCCAACCGTTTATGACTGGAAGCTTTTATTACTCAATACTCATATCGCCTTGCCCGAAAAGATACCCCCCCCCCCCCCCCCCCCCTTGAAAATATAAAATAAAATAGCATGAATATCGTAGCATGAAACTCTATTTAGACTTTTAAACGTTTTCCTGCTTGCTGTTACGTTTCAACTTGGCAGTTAGAACCCCCTTTTTTATTACGCTAGGTATATTACGCAGATTGTTACTTTCCCAATAGGAAAGTGACTGGCCAGTCAAGGCTGTAGTGTAACGCTAAGCCGACCTGTGAGAGCAAATGGCAAGCCGAACACTCGCTCTTGTCGTCGCAAAAATGAAATTAAAACAAGAGTGGGGGAGTACCCCACAATTCAGGTAATAATCTGAATAGTAAAGTTACTACACTTGATCTTAGCCAATAGGCAGAAGAAGCGATACATAGTCAAGACTTTTAAACGTTTTCCTGCTAGCTGTTGGCAGTTTCAGAACCCCCTTTTCCTGGCTACGTCGCTGATCCTGATGTTGCGTCACTGCTTATTTTCTTATCCGTTTTATTCAATTCTGCCTATTTTTATTCATTTATTTTTTTCCTAGGTAACAAAAAGTTAGGTTATCTATATTCTCCATTCTTAACCTCGTTTTTTTTTTCAAACCAAAACATATAATTGTAACTTAGATCATGATAATTAGCGGTGGAGCAAAAACGAGATAGCACTCCGAGTATATTTCCTCTCCGAATAAGACATAACCAAGCAAACCCCAACTTAAAGCGTAAAGTTTATTTTTTTTACTGTACTATGGAAGGCACAGAAACGAAAAGGAGCTCACAGATAGGAAATAATAGGAAATCTAGTCAGTGTTTACCAGCTTATGGGGTCGCGACCCAAAGTCGGGTCGCCAGAAGATACTTTTGGGTTGCCTGCTTATTTTCAGGAATTGCAACATAGGCAGTATTACAACGCAAAATATGGCTATTTACAAAATTGGCTAACGGCAAACAATTGCAGTCTTCTCACTTTGAAGTTATTTCTGAGAAATAAATGCTATTTAAAATGATTATTTTGTATTTGTGATTCAATTTTTAGGATGTGAGAGCATCACAATTGGTTTCGAATTAGAGCCAATCTTGAGGTCGCAAGGATTTACAAAAAATTTTTTTTCAAAAAATTTTGGTCGCTTGAAAAAAAGCTTAAAAACCAACGCTCTTGTTGTAGTTACAACAAAATTTCAGCAAATTTGCGTTTTTTTTTAATTTTCTGGTAATCCGAAACATTCCGATTCATATTAGTCAACGTGTGCGTGATGCAACACTTCAGTGAGACCACGAACAGAGAATTTGACATTTTGGGTTAAAAACCACGGAATCCATGATTTTCGATCGAAAAATGCCTCATCTCGGTTTTCAGCGGATAATTTTGGTTAGATAAGCGGTTAGGTGGAAAACGGAAACAAATTTGCGCAAATTTTGACATTCTTGGGGGAGGATTTTGTATCGTATTTATCGTATTACTAATATACTTCAGTTCTTTGATTTTCCTACAACACTTATTTAAGCGCACTTTGCCGGATGAAAACAGAAGAGGCCTAAGTCACATTTTGTGAAATTTAACTTTTTCCAATATTTTGGGGTTTTGAGCCACGCTCTACAAGATGGTGGTCTCGAAAACCTGAATTTCTCAATATTGAAAATTTTAGCTGGACTGAGGACTATAATATTTTGTAGAAGTTAAGAACAGAATAGGCCTAAGTTCCAATATGATGGACATGGGCATCAGAAATAAAATGTCTGAAACTCACATCTCTAAGAATTTGTTCAGTGCAACTTAGACCTAAGTCACCTTGTTTCACCTACCTACTACCGAAGTTGTTGAAAACATAATGGGCCAAAGTCCTTTATTTGGGTGAAAAACAGAAAGGAAGCGACAGAATATATTGATTACAAAGATATTCTCATCCACATTAAAATAACCAGAGCTCAGGTCTTTACTAAGTGTGGATATTTAGAAAATCAAAAATAACGAAATTCAAAATTGTATTTTTGCTTTTTCTCAAAACTTAAAGTTGTGACTTGGACCTGTTCTGTTCTCATCCAGCGATATATATAAACTAGTTAAACTGTACAAAAGCGTAAGGCTAGCGCATAACTCTAGATCTGGACCTATTAGAGTCCAGTGGTCGGCAACATTTTTTCCGTGACGGACTAGTAACATCTGACCAACATTTTGGCGGATCACCTTTATACAAATTACAGACGAACTGATCTAATGTAATAAATTATATGCGCTAGAAAAGTTATGTTGACAATACATTGAAAAACAAAGGTATAAAGTGTTTTTTACGTTCGTCCTACTTCAATATTTCGTTCGATTTTGTTGGAATCAATTTTGAAAACCTGACCTCACATACTGGTAACAATGCTATTAGGGCATTGTACGTTTTTTGTGTCACCTTTCTGCGGACCGGTAGTAATCTTCCCGTGGACCGGCGATGGGCCGCGGCCCGGTGGTTGCCGACCACTGTATTAGACCCTTCATTTTTGAATAAATAAAGTACTTTTCATGAATAGCGAGGCAGGAATAATGAGTTCCAAAAAAGGCAAAAGAGGTTGGAACTACTGCCCAATAGGATTCGCAAACTCAAGCAAGGTTGAAGAGTCCAGCAATCCAATCGCACATAATTATCCCCCGCGGGATTCGAACCCGCGAACCCACGCAGTGAATCAGATGTAATGACGAGATTTTGGCGCTTTCGAAGCATGCGCACCAAGATAGCGGACACCGGAACGTAGTATGTGTACCAGGTTAGGTTTGTTCCATAATTTTATTCCAACTTCCCTCATTTTAGTTCTATTACGAGTTCGGGGACTAGCCAAGTGACTCCCGTAGTATTTATACCTGAAATTATGGCCCAACCCTAACCTGGTACACATACTGCACTTCAGGAAAACGAAAAAGATTGGGAATCATTGCTAACGCGCCAAACGTTGAAGAACAACCACACCCAAACGCTAAAACACCACGTGTCAGTGAAGGCATCCGCCTACGCTTGTAAGTGTAGAAAAACACAAATATTAAGTGACGTAAGGGTTCTTTCCGTGCAAGGTTTGAATTCCAATGAGCCGCCATTTTGGTAATTTACGAAATAGAGACTTTTTACTCTCGCTATTGACATTTTTAAACTGTTTTAAGAAAGCTCCCTCGTTGATATTTCCTATTTACATAACTGGTAAAAAGTAAAGAAAATAAATTCCAAGTGGCACAAATGAACAAAAAAATGTATCAGTGAAACGTTCGCATGCTTGTCTGAGGAAGTCTGACCATGGTCAGATGAAACGTTACAGATATACATTCGTGTCAGTGTGCAGCAGGACTCTTGAATCAAATAGTGTGGTCATGTTTATTCTTGCTACAGTATCTTCGCATTATACGCATATAAGTCCAGCAACGCAAAAGCATAGAATAATTCGCTGGTCTTGCAGAAATATACCTGAGTAAGTGTATAGCTATAGCAAGACCATTATAACACATAGAATAAACATTTTTATTCTTGCTACAGTATCCTTGCATTGTATGCATCAACACAAATGATATAGTCGGTATTCCTGTGGTATGTGTACCAGAATATCTATTACAAGTTCGGGGACTGGCTGTGTTAGCCAAGTGAATATAACCCTGTCCATAGGTTTCGGTCCCTTTACACAACTTGATCTAGAGTAGGCAAACAAAATTAGTTACCTCTATATTGGTACCAACATATAGCATATAAATAGGTACTCCCGAAGTATGTGTACCAGATCGGGGTTAGGCCATAATTTTAATCCGATTTTCCTTTTTTAGTCGGGGACTGTGTGTGTTAGCCAAGTGAATATATCCCCTGCCCATAGGCTTCGGTTCCTTTACACAATTTGATGTAAAGTAGGCTAACAAAATTAGTTGCCTCTAATTGGTACACATACTTCTGGAGCACCAATAAATCACTCTTAGCCGGTGAAACTCCTTTGCAAATACCAATCTCATTTATAGTTCAAAGCATTGAGTTCCGATTTTTTTTTTAAATTGTATATTTTTGCCCACGCGAGGTTTCAGAGATGACGCCCACATAGACAATGATTGGTGCCCAAGGCCACGTCATCGCTAAAACCTTAACCAAAGGTGAAATGATTTGGTTAGTAAGCAATTCTGAAACCGAAAAATCGAAGCTTCCTAATCGGCGCATTTCTAATCGAATAGTAATTTTATTCGGTTCAGACGATTTCAATTTTTTTATTGCAGCCATATTTTTAGTATGCAATCCGTCCTAGTGAATTATTCGAATTTGTTCAAACGAAAATTCCAAATCGCTGACATCTTGTTTATTCTCTGTCCGCCGTCGAGGTCGAGGTGAATTCCTCATTTTTTTTCTTTATTGAAGCGATATTTTTACAATGCAATTCTAAGAAATGGCTCTTTTCTTCCGAGTGAGTTATTCATGAAACATGTTTTTTATTGGGTGAACACTCGGCGAACTATCTGAGTGATGCATTCTGTGTTTTCGGTAATTTATTATGTGTCTGGACGATTCGTCACAAAAAAAGTCACATACAATTACATATCTTATAGATATTCGAGATCCAATTCGAAAAAAAAAAATCAATTCGATCCTGGAATTATCAGGAATTTAAAATGCCGAGCCTTATCAGTGACTGCTTGTCTAAGGCTTTGTCTGGAGAGAAAGTGTGAAAACGGCTCCTGGAATGAACCCGCTGCTTGTTTTCGCCAAAAATCACGAAACGGAAAAAATGCGTTGGCGTTTTGACAACTTTAAGCTTCAAAAGTCAATTTTTAACGCGGAATTGAGCAAATTGCTATTCTTTATCCAAAAATGTCTACATTGGTAAATTCCAAAATAACTAGATAAACGAAAAAAGGTCCGAAAACTGAAAGAATAAAACATAGAAAAAATTGCACAGTTTATTTTTTTTCGACCATACATAATACAGTAGAGACCTCAACAGTGGACATGAAAAGAATATTCAGCACTAATGGATGTTCCCCGACCTTTGACCCCCGAAAAAATTCTTTATATACTTTACCACTGCAAAAATTTTGCTGTTTATTTTAAGTTTTCGCGGGTCGACCTAATCCTCTATTGTCACGTCACTTTTTGAGCCTTGCTGATAAACCAATTTTACAGAAGTAAAGTTTCTGCTCGGAACCTCAAAAAATCAGTGATGACACAAATAATGATAATGCTTTAATCGCTAGGCAAATCGTCCTATTTTTCGGGACAAATGACCTAAATGCGACTGAATATCAATACAACCGTATATAAATACTACAAAATCCTTGTTAATTTCACTTTTATTTAAACAGTCCTTTCACACTACGGTCTCCCCCGAGATAGGAAGATATTTTCCCAGACCTTAGAACGTTTGAAGTTGCTCGGGCGACATTTCTC